CCTCGGCACTGACCGTCCGACAGCGCGGCGCTCCCTCGGCACTGACCCTTCGACCGCGCGGCGCTCCCTCGGCACGGACAGTAGGTGTATTTGCTGAATTAAGGGTTTACATTTCTAAGTGGGACCTGAACTAATGTCATGTGCGACTGTGAGAGCGCCCCTCATTCAGGCACAGCTGACTGTGTGAGACCCTGAGTCATTGAGCAGCCTGCATTCCAAACAGAAAGTGGATGGCGAGTGCTTAATCTATCGCAGGAAGCAGGAAGAGTGTGGGTTTTTCATAATTGTTGTTAATCAACTCACACGCTGTGGCTCAGAAGGAGTGACTCAGGGAAACCCCGAATGTCCGACACACTCATGAAAGGAATGAACTGTGACAGGTCCACAAAGAGGTCAGGGGTTACTCGGGGAAACTTCTGCAGAAAGGCAGCAGTGAATGTCTCCAGGGCAGGTCGATTGCTCTGAGAAACCTGGAGGAGAGAAAGATTAAATACTTTTCAAACTACATCCAGAGAACTGGATGGAGGTAATACAAGATACAGTGAAAACCACTTCAGTCTAATATTCCAATTCATCTTTGGGGCTTTATAAATATTTCTACGCAAGGGAATGGTACATCAGCTCAAGGTCCTACTGCTGGTATTTGTCCAGCAGGGATATGACCATAGAATCTAGAAGCAAGCCACTCAGCCCCTCAAGTCTGCTCATCTATTTGATAAGGTCACAGCCTCAAACTACTCGCTGTACCCTTCGACTCCCTTATAAGCTAAAGATTGGTCCAGCTTTGCCTCACAAATGTCCAATGGCACAGCCCCCATTGCTTTCTGTGGAAGTGAGCTCCAGCCTCAGAAAAACATTCACATCTCCGTCTTCAATGGAAACCCTTACATTTTAAACTGTTTCTCCAGCAGCAGGCTTTTTGACCTCGGGGGGTTGTCACAGCTGAGGAGGAAGGTGGCAGGTGAGGCGTCATGTGAGGCATCATGTGAGGCAATACATTTTGACACAAAAAGACACAGATAGACAGCACAAAATAAGGATAACAATTCTAAAGGCGCAGTATGCCCTGGCTATAAATGTACAGTCATCAAAAGTGGCAGGAGAGGCAGAGAGAGAAATCAGTAACAAAACATTCAGTGTCATAGAGTAATAGAATCATACAGCACAAAAACAGACCCTTCGGTCCAACCAATCCATACTGAACATAATCCCAAATTAAAATAATCCCACCAGCCTGTTCCTGGCCCATATCCCTCCAAGTGTCCTCAGCTTTATTATAGGGACATAGAATACAAGAGCAGGAAGGTTATGCTGAGCTTGTATAAGACACTGGTTAGACCTTAGCTGGGGTATTGGGCACAGTTCTGGGTGCCATACTATCGGAAGGATGTGAACATGTTGAATTTACAGATTCATTCCAGTGATAAGAAACTTCAGTAACAAGGATAGATTGGAGAAGTCGGGTCTGTTCTCTTTGAAGAGAAGGCAGCTAAGAAATTTGAAAGAAGTTTTCAACTGCTTTTTGTCATTAATGTAAGTGATTTGGATGTGAACATTGGAGGTATGGTTAGTAAGTTTGCAGATGACACCAAAATAGGTGGTGTAGTGGGCAGTGAAGAAGGTTATCTCAGAGTACAACGGGACCTTGACCAGGTGGGCCAATGGGCCAAGAATTAGCAGATGGAGTTTAATTTAGATAAATGCGAGGGGCTGCATTTTGGAAAGGCAAAGGTAAGGTCCTGGGGAGTGTTGCTGAACAAAGAGACCTTGGCGTGCAGGTTAATAGTTCCTTGAAGGTAGAGTCACAGTTAGACAGGGTGGTGAAGAAGGCATTTGGTACGCTTGCCTTCATTGGTCAGTGCACTGAGTGTAGGAGTTGGGCGGTCATGTTGCGGCTGTACAGGAGATTGGTTAGGCCACATTTAGAATACTGCATTCAATTCTGCTTTAGGAAGGATGTTATTAAACTTGAAAGGGTTCAGAAAATAATAACAAGGATTAGAGGGTTTGAGATATAGGGAGAGGATGAATAGGTTGGGGCTATTTTCCCGGGAGCGTTGGAGGCTAAGGGGTGACCTTATAGAGGTTGATAAAATCATGAGGGGCATGGATTGGATGAATAACCAAGGTCTTTTTCCCAGAGTGGTTAAAGGAGTCCAGAACTAGAGACCATAAGTTTAAGGTGAGAGGGGCAAGGTTTAAAAGGGACCTAAGGCGCAACTTTTTCATGCAGAAGGTGGTGTGTGTATGGAATGAGCTGCCAGAGGAAGGGGTGGAGGTTGGTACAATTACAACATTTAAAAGGTATCTGGATGGGTAAATGAATAGGAAGAGTTTAGACGGATATGGGCCAAGTGCTGACAAATAGACTGATATCTGGTCAGTATGGACAAGTTAGACCAAAGATCTCTTTCCGTGCTGTACAACTCTACGGCACGGTGCTTAGCAGTGCTGTCTAACAGCACCAGGAACTCGGGTTCGATACCACCCTCAGGCGACTGTCTGTCTGGAGTTTGTACATTCTCCCTGTGTCTGCGTGGGTTTCCTCCGGGTGCTCCGGTGTCCCCCCCACAGTCCAAAGATGTGCAGGTTGGAGTGGATTGGCTGTGCTAAAGTGCCCATAGTGTCCAGGGATGTGTATTTAGGTGGATTGGCTGTGCTAAAGTGCCCGTAGTGTCTAGGGTGGGAAATGCAGCGATGGGGTAGGGGGTGGGTCAGGGTGGGAAATGCAGCGATGGGGTAGGGGGTGGGTCAGGGTGGGATGCTCTTCGGAGGGTCAGTGTGAACTTGATGGGCCAAATGGCTTGCTTCCACACCGTAGGTATTCTATGGTTTCCATAACAGCATGAGGGAACTGGAATGAGTAGATGGAGAGAAACTGTTCCCATTTGTAAACAGATGAAAAGGGAAACGGCACAGACGTAAAATGATTTGCAAATGTAGCAAATGTGATGTGAGAAAATAAATATTCTCACATGATCAGTGGATTGGGTCTGGAACATACTGCATGGGATTGTGATGAAACCAGTCAAGGGGGCATTGGATGTTTATTTAAATAGAAACAAGGTGCAGGGCTTTGGGGAAAGGGCAGGAAATTGGCACCAGGTAATGATGCTCATTCAGACGGCCAGCGCAGACATGATGGGCTGAATAGGCTCCATCTTCACCGTAACAAGCCTGTGATTCTGAGGATGGAGAGTGAGGGAGGGACAACACCGGAGGCAGCTGAGGTAAAGGTGAGCATTGTAAAAATGAGCATGTTGCCAGCCTGGGTACCAGTGCACCATTGCCCGACTGTGCTCACCTGGAGTTGTTGCCATGTCCTGTGCATGTGTGAGAGCAGTTTCTTGACACTGTCGCTCTCAGCTGACATTAGAATCTTCTGCAAATTCTCCCGGGGCATCAGCAGGTATTCCTGGGAGCAACGAAAGGAAATACTCAGAGACAGCTTGATCAATCTCCCTTCAATCTTCATGCCTGTACTTGATACTGTAGGGATTGGAACACTGCCCGAAGACTGCCTGCCCCTCGCTCCCTGTCTCCGTGGGATTTGTGGAAACCTGCCCCGCCAAACATCATCTGAGTCACAAATTGGACGGTTAAATCCTGCTCCAGAGTTTGAGAATTGAGGCTGATTCAGCCAGTTTGCGACCAAGGGAGTGCTGAGACGCTTATTCAAGGTCCTGTCTGGTCTCTCGGATGGATGGAAACCCTGAAGGGACATCCTTATCAGCAGGGGTGACAGCTGACAAAGCTCACTTAATTACAGCCTGCCTCCAATAATCCCGGCACTCCTTTGAAAGATTAAGGTGACAGTGTTCATGGAAGCTCGCAGCAAACTAAGCATCGCCTCTCATGCAAGTGTTTTAGTCTTAAGCCACACTGTTTCTCCTAGCTCCTTAGAAGTGAAGTTTGTGACCATGCACATGGCAGACCGCAGCTTCGAGACGATTTTATTTAGAAAGTGAGGGCTTAGGGTCTTACAAAACGAGCAGATATTCAATTATTTTACTGGCTGTTTGAACTCCAAGGAGTTCTCATTAAGGTGCATACAAACAAGAATTAGAACAAACAAGAATTAGAACAAACAAGAATTAGAACAAACAAGAATTAGAACAAACAAGCTCGGATTGGGCCATTCAGCCCCTTGAGAATGCTCTGTCATTTGATATGATCGAGACAGATCTGATCGTGGCCTGAGCTTCTCTTTAATGTCTGACACTGTAATCCTGACACTCCAGTTGGTCAAGAATATATCTACATCTGCCCTGAAGTTCTTCAAACGCGCAGCCTCCACTGCTTTTCTGCAGAAAGTTCCTCAGACACTCATTCCTCAGAGAAAACAATTCTTCTTATCTCCTTCTTAAGCTGTGTTCCCTGGCTCGGAAACAAAACTTGGAATTGCTGGAGAAACTCAGCAGGAAATCAGAAATTGGATTTGTCGGTTAGTCAGTTCTTTAATGGAGCAATTCTATTGGATATTTGAAAATGCTGAAGAAGCTCAGCAGGTCTGGCAGCATCTGTGGAGAGGGGAAAAACAGAGCTCACCTTTCAAGTTGGAAATGACTCTGTTGAAGGGAGAAGGGTCATTGGATTAACTGTTTCCTTCTCTACAGATGCTGCCAGACTTGATGAATTTCTCCAGCATTTTCAGATCTCCAGTAGAACTGCAAATTGAGCTGAAGGGTCTGTTTCCACACCGTATATCTCTATAACTCTATGTGGCTAATTTTTTAACTCCGCTATGAAATGGCAAGTAACTCAGTTCAATGGTTTAAGGTGAGAGAGGAAAGATTTAAAAGGGACCCAAAGGGCAACTTTTTCACGCAGAGGGTGGTGCGTGTATGGAATGAGCTGCCAGAGGAAGTGGTGGAGGTTGGTACAATTACAACACTTAACAGGCATCTGGAGGGGTACATGAATAGGAAGGTTTAGAGGGATATGGGCCAAATACAGGCAACTGGGACTAGATTAATTTTGGATATCTGGTTGGCATGGACGAGTTGGACCAAAGGGTCTGTTCCCATGCTGTACAGCTCTATGACTCTATGACCCTAACTGATTAACAGTTGATACTGCAATTCTAATTTCTGCAGCAAATACTCTTACCTCCAGGTCAGGCTTTAATTTAATTAAGTTCATGCAAAATAATTAATCTTACACTCACACTGAACTGAGGAAGCGCCGCGCTGTCGGGGGCTGAGTGCGGAGGGAGCGCCGCGCTGTTGCAAGTTGGTCTTTCAGGTGAAATGTTAATGAGGCCCCGTCAGGTGAATGTAAAAGATCTCATGACACTATGTTGAAGAACAGGAGTGTTCTTCCCAGTCATGGCCATAATTATCTCTAAATCAATAACAGAAAAACAGACGAGCCAAGGCAGCAGCTTGGTGATTGGGTGAAGCTCCTCCCTGCTAGATATGTCCTCTTTACAGCAAGGTGGATATTTCAGACGTCAATGTCTTGTAAAAGACGTTGCAATTTCTTGAGGCTGTGACAGGGATTATAAAAGTGCAAGTTCTTTGTTTCGCTTACCTGTAAAAGATCTCTCAGGGCTGGTGAATCCTCCTCATTCTGTAACATGTCCCAGAGAACTGGCTGTATGTGGAGATTAAATCAGAACAAGATTGTGTCAGTATTTACCTGACCCTTAAAATCAGTAATTGCAACGTCTCCCCCGTGTTTTTGTCCTTTATGGGTACTGATGCATCCCAGCGCACTGTTTCTTATCTACAGGTCATCTTCTGGTACCCCATTCATCTGCTGTGAGACTAGGTGGTGAACATTAGCAGACTATTTGGCTGCAGGAGCCTCACCAACACCACACACATAGAAGCGGGTCCACTGCAAAGGTCAGATGTGACAAGACTGATCGCCCTCACCCTCCCTTGGTTGAATTTCACAGTAAGATATGTCACTGTAATTGACAAAACATTAACATTTAGATCAAGTGCTGCAGGCTGATCTGCATCCCGAGACCCTAGTGGGATTCCGTGCCTTTGGAAAGAATGGGAGTTAATAACTGTGCAAGGGATATTAAAGCGACATCCCTCACAACCACACAATTGCATTGCAATATTTCGAAGGAGGGCAGGAGCCAATATTTAACATTCAACCAGCATCATTAAAATAAACCATCTGCTCTTTGTCACATTTCTGTTTGCAGAGACTTGCTGTGCACAAATTGGTTCACGTTTCCTCCAACAACGACTACACTTCAACAAGTATCTCAGCGACTGTAGAGGTGCTATATAAATGTTAATCTCTCTTCCTCGGTCTTGTGTGCATTTATAACTCACTTGAGTAGGACAAGTGAAACATCATTAATTGGGTCACAACTCAGAAAATTATCAATTTAAATTCCATCATCCCTTCAACTAATCTAAATTCTAACACATTATTGTACAAGATTATCACACACTTCTGAGGATATTGTACATTGCTTCTCCCACAGAGGTGGCCCAATTAGTGGAGAGATACAAGATATATGTTATTTTTATTCATTTACAGGATTTGGCATTGCTGGTCAGGCAGCATTTATTGCCCATCCCTAACTGCCCCACCAGAGGGCAGTCAAGAGTCAACCACATTGCTGTGGGTATGGAGTCACATGTAGCCAGACAAGGTAAGGATGCCAGTTTCCTTCCCTAAAGGACATTAGTGAACCAGATGGGTTTTTCTGACAATCGGCAATGGATTCATGGTAATCGTTAGACTCTTAATTCCAGATTTATTTTTTTGAATTCAAATTCCTCCATCTACTGTGGCAGGATTCGAACCGGGGTTCCTAGAGCATTACCTGGGTCTCTGGATGAACAGTCCAGTGATAATACCACTAGGCCATCACCTCCCCATATTTATTATTCATTTATGTATATGCAATTATTCAGTGCAGAGACTGAGGCTACTATAGATCACTGAAATATCATAAATTACATCAAGCTTTACCAGTTTCCATTACATTCTTCACAACTTTTTTGAAAATGTGTGGTAATGGATGCCTCAGTTATTGTTACTGTTGGCATCATCATCAGCTGAACACTGACCCAGGGGAGTGACAGACAGTCTTATTCTGTATTGCCATTTATTGCTGTACAGACAGTCCCAGGGATCTGGATGTATTCCATTCCTGAGTCGGCTTGTATTCAAGTCAGAACACAAATGCAGGACAGTATAAAGCAGCTGTTCTGAAGCACAGGAAACGGGGAGTTGCCAGGTCTTTAAAATTATGGCCCCCATTTCGGATCATGTTCGTAAGTATGAGCATTGGTAAGTTGAGGAGCCCCTGTATATCTCAGCACATTGCTACTGACAGATCTTCAGGTTATGAGCCTGAATTTCACAGAATCTTATGGTGCCGCAGATTTTTCAGCTCATTGTGGCTGCATCAGGGTTTTGTAAGATTTGTCTGTTTCCTCTGCTCTTTGCCCCTGAGCCAAATCTGCTGGATTAAGTATTAATAGAAATACAGGAACAGGAGAAGGGAGGCAGCTCTTGTGGCACAGTGGCAGTGTCCTTACCTCTGGACCAGGAGGCCCAAGTTCAAGTCCCACCTGTTCCAAAGGTGTGTAATAACACCACTGAGCAATTGATTAGAAAATATCTAGAAACAGGAGTATGCCATTCAGCTCATTGATATTGTCTTGCCATTCAATACAATCATGGCTGATCAAACACTTCAAGTCTCTTACCCACCCCATCTCCATACCCCTATATGTCACTGGTAATCAGAAATCTATCAATCTCTGCCTTAACAATAAAGGCTGAGTTTCCACAGCCCTCTGGGCTCGAGAATTCCAAAGGTTCACAACCCTCTGAGTAAAACAAACATTCTCCTTATCTCAGACTTTATCCAATTCTTTTTCCAAAGTTACGGTTGAATCTGCTTCTCTGACCTTTTCAGATAATGGATGCCAGATCACAATAATTCACTGCATTATAAAAATTCTCATCATATCCCCTTGTAATCATTTTGTCAATTATAGCAAATCTGTGTCCTTTGGTTACGAGCCCTCTTGCCAGAGAAAATATTATTTCAGGTAACAGCAGGCACAAAGGGATAATTGAAGCCACAATCAGGTCAAACATGAACAGCCTCCTCCTGCTTCCAGTTTGTATTCTCATATAATATTAAGCAGTTCCTTAACCTTCTCCGCTCCAAAGAGAACAATCCCAGCTTCTCAAGTCTGCTGTATGATGGATGTCCTTGGTACAATCCTGGGAAATCTCCTCTGTATTGTCCTTGTGAAAAGCTAGTGCCCAGGACTGACCCAACATTCCTACTGCGTCTGGCCCAGCATTTCTCAGAATGTAACTATGAGGCAATAAGGCAACAGCACCGTTAAATTTAAAGGTAATAAATCAGGGATAAGTATGAAAATAAGATTGACCTTCCAAGGCTACTAGATCTGCTTGGCTAGGGCTTGAGGAAGCCCTATAGTCTAATAAAAACAGGAATTGCTGGAGATATGTAGCAGGTCTGGCAGCATGTGTGGAGAGAGAAACAGAGCTAACATTTTGAATCCAGAAACCCTTCTAATCTCCAGTCATGCTACCAGACCTGCCAGGCTTCTCCAGCAATTTCTGTTTTTGTTTCAGCATCCACAGTTCCTCGTTTTATTTTAATATTGAACCCTGATCCAAAGATGCTTTTCAAAAGAGTCCAACTTGAAGCAGTACAAGAATTCTGCTAAATATCTCCCAAAAAGGGAGAGGTCTCAGCTCGTTCAATTATGGGCACCAGTCTATGGGATGATGGATGTTCTTGGAGAAGAGATATACCAGAATGTTCCCAGAGAATATCGTTATTTTCAACTTGAAAGATTTTGCCCATCATGGAATGTAGATCGTGAGCATTAAAAGCATTCCAACTTTATGGAGACATGTCAGAGTGGAACATGCTGTAGGGAGACATAAGAACATTGGAAATAGGAGCAGAAGCAGGCCATTTGGATCCTCAATCCTGCCCCACCCTTCAACAAAATCATTTTTGATTTGCCCCAGACCTCAATTCCTCTTTCGTGTCAGCTCCTCACAGACCTCGACTCCTCAATCTTTCAAAAACCTACCACCTCTTTCAATACTTTCAGTGATCTAGCCTCCATAACTCTCAGGGGTAGAGATTTCCAGATATTCAGTATCCTCTGGGAAAAGAAATTCCTTTACATTTCAGTTTTAAATTAGTGTTCCATTACTCTGCAACTATGCTCCCAGTTCGAGATTCCCTCACTAGTCGAAATAACTTCTGAACATCGACCCTGTCAAGCCTCCTCCCTCAAAATCCTGTATATTTCAGTAGACTCACCCCCCTCATTCTTCTAGATCCAAATGAATAAAGGCCTTATTATTCAGCTATTTCTAAAACATCAGCGCTTTCAACACAAGAATCAGCCTAGTTAATCTCTTTCGAACAGCCTTCAATGTCAACACGTTCTTTCTTAAATATGGGGACCGGAATTTTACACAGTACTCTATGTGTACCAGATCTACCAGCAACCTGCACTGTTGTAACAAGACTTCCCTATTTTTAAACTCCAAGTTCCTAGCAATAAAGACCAAAAATTCCATTCTTAATTTCTTGCTATTTTCTGTGTTTCATGCACAAGAATGTCAGATCCTGCTGCACCGCGCTTTTTGGAGTCTCTCTCTATTTAAATAAAAATCTGTCTTTGATTCATCCTATTAAAGTGTATGACCTCACACTTTCCTATGTTGACCACTCCCTCAATCCTAGCCCTATCCACAGCCCTAGTTGTACAATCCACTTGTCCTAGGGAGCAGCTCTCTCTCACCTGAACCGGTCCTGGTGTCTCATGAATTGAAACCCATTTCTCCAACGAATATCTGAGCTACGTTAGTGAATTTTGATTGACAAGTTGAATTTTGTTGCGACTGCTGCTATTTGTAAGGATAACTGTTTTGCAATTTTTTTTTTAAACAAATTTCATAAATAATGCATATTTTTGCAAAAGAAGAATGTTAGCCGTGATGAGGGACCTCAATGATGTGGAGAAACTAGAGGACTTGGGATTGTTCTCCTTAGAGCAAAGAAGTTTAAGGGAAAGTCCTTTTGAGGTGGTGCTAGTATTGCTTTACTTATTGCTTACGCTGAAGCAGTTGAGAAGGTCATTTTTAAGGGCTCTGTCTGTCTCTTCCTTTAAGTAGCTGTCAATGGTCTGTAAAATACTGACAGAAGCATTGGGATTGAAGGCTTCCCAGAAAGAAGCATTGTCCAATAAGCTGGAGAGAAGGATGGCCTCACTCAAAACCCCTTGGACTTCCTCCTCGCTGTGATCGAGGCTGGAAACATCCAGGATGTAATTGAAGACTCGAAGAATATAGTTGGCGTTGGAAATCCAACTGAAGGCCTGGTCATCACACTGGTTGAAATGATCGAGGAGGTCAGTCAGGAAAGCAGTTGGATTTTGACACAGTTGAGTTGTGTTGAGGTTCAAAGGTACTGGAAAGTTGTCGAGTAAATGGCCTACCAAACACTCCTCTTCTTGTGGTTCTTTGGAGGCCACACAGTAATTTATGACCCAAGGGTGTAGCGGTGAAATGATGTCATAAAGAGTGGCATTCTGGCAAATGATTTCCTTTAAGCCTTCATTGTCCTGGTCTTTACAGCTCGCTAGAAGGCTGCCATCGATAAACATCTTGTCCGACCATGTCTTGTAATCACATTTTAACGGAAGGCTTTCAACAGGTAAAGAATTCAGCACTTCCCTCAAGTCATCAAGAAGGCCGCAAAAACGAATTAACCAGGACACAGTCCGCTCATCAACTTTGAAAGCTGTCCCATGGGTGCAGATATCATGGATGTGAGCTGCGCCCCTCGCCAAGATGCATTCCTGCAAATCGCTGATGGTGGCATTTGAAGCCTCAGACCCTCGGTGACAGCTGCTGGCTGAAAGCTGCAGCCCCTCTAAGCCACTGATGATGTGTGCACAGAGAAGGCTGCCCCACGCACCAGCTCCAGACAGATCCCTCAAGAATGTCCTGTTGAAGCAGATCTCCTTGATATATTCAACATCCAGACGAAGGATACACTCCTGAACCTCATCCTTTTCCATACTGGAATTTTGCAACATTTGGTCACATTTGCTATTGACAATGTTTACTTCTTCTGAGTTAGTAGTTAGCCACGAACAGACTGGGTTAATCCTGGGCTCAGCCACACTGAGATTATTCAGGATGGTCATTTGGGAGCAAAACTGGTTGACCAAATCAGTGCCATTCTGATCGCCCACAATTAATGAGATTGCTTCCATTTTCAGTCTGTTTCGCTGCCTGCATAAATTCCTGATCAGCCTTTTGTCTCCAGTCACACTCGTCAGGAAAGTTTCATTTGAGCAAAGCTTGTGGATAGAATCTGCCCCATTGGCCAGCAGACAGACCTGGATCTCCTCTGAGCTTACACTCGCTCTCGTTGACAACCTGCCGCAATCCCTGGCTAAGGTGCCATGTTTCCTTGACCCGTCCTGCAGCTTGGCACAGAGCTGGTTGAAATCTTGCCGGCTCAACAGGGAGACATTGCTGCAGATGGTGGAGTTGAACTCTGACGTGTAAAACTGCCGACAGACCTGAACCCAGTAAAGATCCTCTTGAACTGCGGAGAAGTACCAGGCAGCATCTGAGCAGGCAGCTCGGAGGTCTGGTGGGGCCTGGCTCACAGCTGTGGTCTGGTTGAAGAGGTTGCAGTAGAGATAGACAGTGAAGTTGGAGATCCCTGGGAGTCTGGGCATGGAGTCGTTACAAACAGCCTCCAGAGTTCCAGTGTAGGGAAAATCACGGTCCCCTATAACAGTCTCCCCAGATCGCCTGGACACCGTATGGGAATTTCTTCGCATGTCCCTGACTTTGTCACTCAGTCGGCTACAGGCTAGAAAAGGTGTTTCAGCCAAAAGTCCTTGTGAGCTGAATCCCAAGACTGGAGTGTTCCAGGAGATGTTGTTCCTGATCCCCCTGCATTTGAAATAAAATAAAAACAAGCTTGGAGCTAGGTCCTTACCCTTTGAGAGGAAGCACACTGGGACATTTTTACAATGGGTTCATCTACGGTTCAACACAAATGAATGGAAGGTGTGAATGGTGTGGCCACAATGGAAATAGAGGAATACAATGGAGTCAGAGGCAAGAGACATAATGAGCATTCTACTGGTCATTAATTTTCACGAGCAAATGTTATTAGAAGAACAATAAATCTTCAAGGGCATTAGCACACATAGATGTTTACCAACTCCAAACTTAAAATATCAACCAAAAAAAAATCTACAAGATCTCAACACACAAGCAATCAAATTGGCATTGGATGCACACTTAGGATCTGTTCATGGAGTTTACCTACTTCTTCTGAGCCAGTGGTTGACGGTATGAGTGAAAACCCCTGAAATCATTTCCTAGCCGAGGACAGGAATATGACCCCTGCCTCTTGAAACCTGGTGTTGCCTCCTGCCACACTGTGAAAGACTGATGTCTGGCAGAATTACTCCCTTCCTTCTCTCTTTACTCCTTCATGGGTCATGGGTGTCACTGACAAGACCAGCATTTGTTGTTTGCCCCTAATTGTAGTTCAGGTTGAGTGGTCATTTCCAAGGTCAATTAAGGAGTCAACCACATTGCTCTGGAGTCCCATGTAGGCCAGACCATGTATAGATAGCAGATTTCCTCCCCTGAAGGTCATTATTGAAGGTTAAGCAGCAACTTTCATTTAGCAAAACATCCCAAGAGTTTTTTGTCCCAAGAAATGGGGAGTCAGATAGGAGCTGGGCAGGGGGTCACCATGGGGGAGGTGTGTGGAGCTACCAAGGAAGGCAGGTTTCAAGGCGGTTCTTGAAGGTAATGAGTGGTTACAAGTAGAATCTGAGACTACAAAGGCTATCAAGTGTAATAGATTCGTGACTGATGGTAGAGCAGAGATATAAGGATGGTGGCCACTTAGCCCATGAGGTCTGGATTAAAGAGAGAGATTCCTGTGGTTTGCCATTTTGTGTTTCAAGTTTCTCACTTCAGAAGATCCCACATTTCTATCTTCAGAGTTGCTGTGAAACACTTAGATATAGGGAATGTTACAGGTAGCTGGGAGAAGTTTCAAGTCAGGTTTGTGTGGCTGTTTTAAAAATTAAACTGAGTGTAAGAAGAAACCTTACCATAAAAGAAGCTGTCTTACATCTCCTGTAAAGAAAGCAAGAAATTTGAAGCTTTAGTTGCAGTGCTTGCCGAGATCATTAAATATTCAAATGTACAATGGTTAAGACATTTTGAAACCTTACATTTGGATACAGGAAAAACATCAGAGCCAAGGTGACCACAAGGACTCACTTGAATTATATTGGGAATGAGAAATTACAAAGCATGGATCAAAACATTACGGTCAGAAAGGACAGGGTGGTATTGAGTAAATGTTATTAGAGATCAGAGAGGACAAACAATAATAAATTATTTCTACTATCGGGTGAACCAGTGGCAAGGAGGCATAAATGTAGGAAAATCAGAAGCTTGCCTATAATCCAGGCCAATACTCATAACACAATACTGAGGGAGTGTTGCACCGCCACGGGTGCCATCTTTCAAATGAGGCCTGAAACTGAGATCCCATCTCAGCAGATATACAGCATCCTGTAGCACTACTACAAAGAACAAGAGAGCTTTCCCCAGCAGCCGAGCCCAAATTTATCACTCAAGCAGCATCACAAAAACAGATTATTGTTACCACACTTGTGAGATCTCGCTGTGTGGAAACTGGCTGCGCTGCTTCCTCCATAACAACAGCGAGTGTACTCAAAATTTAAAACAGAAGGTGGAAAAACTCAACAGGTCCAGCAGCATTTGTGGAGACAGAAAAATAAGGTCAACATTTCGGGACCCTTCATCAAAACTACATTCCAAATCACAGGGTTGAAATGGTCACGAGAGATGCTTTACAGATGCAGGTCCTTCTTTCATCGGAGATAAGGCGAGAAAAATTAGAGAAACATTTTTCAGATGTTAGGACATGGAGTGTTTTTTCACAATGGGCTATTGAGGCAGAGACCAACTCATTTAGAAAGGGAATTGGGGACAGAGTAGCAGGATATACCCAGAGCAGACTGCGTTCATTCCATGACAACACAAGCTCTGCTGAAACATCACTCACCAACAGAACATTTTCCATCGTGGTCTGCTCGAGGAATTCCAATAACAGATGCGACTTCCTTCGCCAGAGAGCCTTTCATTTGTGACACTTGCCTTTTAAAGTTCATGTAGACCCGTGTCCCGACTTTTTGTAAAATATTCTGTTTGAGTTCTTCCAGGCCATCCCACAGGACTTCCTCACTCCACATCGATTGGGATTGATTGGCTGAACGTAGCCCCTCTGACACACTCCTCCTGCCACTGGGCTTTGAAAGAATCTGAAGCAGACTGTGCATGCTGTTGACACTCTTTGCTGAGTTTAAGCTTTGCGGGTGAGGATTCCCACTGTTCCCGGTCTCTGGAGACCCGTTCCATGGTTGGAATCTTTCAGTCCTAGGCGGTGGACCGTGGGACTGGAGGTTGACCACTGGTTTCCAGTTTGTCAGGTCAAGTAACTTGCCTAGACTTTCAAACCAATCCATTTCGATGGCACAGTCACCCTGCCCCATTAGTGAACACATTAGCTCCTGAATGCCAGCCCTGGCTTGTTCATACGTTCCACTTAATAATGTTTGGAAAACTGTCTCAATCAGACCAACAAGGCTCTCCCAGTTTTGCTTTTGGAAAAGCCAACTGAAAAGCTGATGTTCTGTGAAAAAATCTAAGATAATTTGCAGGAACTCAATGAGACTGTCCAAGTCCCTGCTGGCCCTCAATGACACAAAGAGGTCCTTCAGCTCCAGCATGGCCCTGGGAGGGGGGTCAACCTCCACCTCTCCAGGGTCAAGAACATTCAACATGACGGTTTCATCTGCTGGATCTTGGAGGTCGTTACTTTGCAAATATAGTGAGATGTTGTACAGAAATGCAGAGAGTCTCTTTCTGTCTACTGTACGCTTGGTAAGAAAAACAGGCAGATTACTTTGAGGTAAAATGCTCAAGGCTCTGAGACCTCCAATCAGTCTAGAGATGGCAGCATGGATGCTTTGGGAACTTTTGATACCAGCTCTCCCATGGACAGCGATCGATTCCATTCTCCCTTCTGTATTTTCTCCTCCTAATAAACGTGCAACATCCTTCAACACTTCCACATATGAGTTAATCTTGTTACCTGCAAGTTTAAAGTTCAACATTCAGCAAGGAGCACTAAATGAGAAACAAAGTGAGAACATTACTGTCCCACTTTCAACTTCCAATTGATCATCGTTAACTTGACAAAGTAGCCCATTTTTCAAAGGACATACAATCCTCTACATGATTACAATTTCCCCATCGCAGTTTTACCACCCTCTTTGTTTGCTGTGTGATGTTCCTGTTAGAGACCACTACCTGTTAAAGAGAAATACAAACATCGTCTTTTAACCAACAGAGCGGCGCCAAATTTCACTTCTTTTAAAACAAAATACATGATAATGAACAATATAAGAACATATTCAAACATATAAGAACACATAAACGCTATGTACATTGTAATTTCGAATCACAATAGCCTGTGTGACATTGTATTTTGCTGGATCTGGTTAAGGTCATTGAATCACAAACTCTTACCTTTGCTGGGTGGGCTCACCAACAACATAAGGATGACCACGAGGGACAATATAGCTGCCATTATTCCCCCTATCCCCCTTCCAGGGGGATATTGCCCTCACTCCACAAGTTTCACATCATCCCAGTTCCAATCTTGATCTTTCAGTTATGACCTTCTGTTCGGCAGCTGCATAGAGACAGTATACCCACTTAATGATCTTGGGTTGACATTCTAAGCATGTGCATACTCAGGTGCAGGACATCAGCACTTTAAATAAAGCATTTCAAGCTAAAACAACCAGGTTTGATGATTTTATTTGGAATGAATTGCCTAAACAAACGGGGGTTACATGGAGTGAGCCTCTTGCTAAATTCTCGGCTCACTCCCACAGGTTGGAATGAATGAGCTTCTGGAGGTGCCAACATTCAAAAGGGGAAACAAGAAAGAAAAAGGAAATGGCTTAAGTCGCAGACAGGATGCTATCAGAAAGGATCTTGGCATAAATTGGCTGTTAGTGAGTCAGTAACCTGTTTTCTATCTCTCCTGTCAAGTCGCATGTGAATAAACTTTAGGAAAGATGAGAAAAATGCTGGCAGCTCAGCGTTGCTTGATTCACCCCATCATACACATCCTCACTTGAACCCATTCTAATGAAGATGATGTTACTGGAGACTCTTAACACGGCATTTGGGAAGGAAGGTCACTGACACCAGCAGTGTGGATGAATTTGTTGAGGAATGTACTCGAATGGTAGACATAGATAGCCCACTAGATATTGCACAACTGGCACCTCTGATACACATAGAGCCAACCTAAACAAGACCTGGTAATGCTCACAGACTGTGAAATTAGATTTAGGACTTTAAAACTCCATAAGCTATGACAAAAGGTCACTACCCTGAAACAATGTTGAATATTTCCAGCATTTTACCTCGATGATGAATCTGATAGACAGTTTACTCACCTTGCAAAGCCTGAAAATAGAATGATTCACCACAGCAGGAAAAACAGATAACACAGGTTGGATTAACGTGGATTCGACAAAACCTCAGCAATAGTATAACCAGGTAGTCTGTACTTACAGTCTCTTTTCTTATATTCATCAAGGGCAGTCTTAATTAATAAATATTATTATTATTATTATTATTATTATTATTATTATTATTCAGTGAAAACTCGTGGCTTTCCCTTTGATTGAAGGGCTGTCTCTCACGCTGACTGGAGCCCACAGCTCTTTTTGCATGAGGTTGCTTTAGCTCGGGTCAGATTTCACACATCCACTTTCTGGGGTCACAATAAGACACAATTATCATCAGCCAAATGTTTAAATTGAATTGTTCTTTTCTCTTCTTTCAATTTATCCTTTCTTCTCTCTTTGGAAGTGCTATCTCCACGCTAAGGTCTCCTCTAGCATATTGGTTCAGACTCCAGCATCAAGCATGGACTAGCTGATGTGTATCGCTGAGTTTTTCAACCAACTGGTGCATGATAGTCCAGTGTCATTTGCTTTGTTCAATGTGTGAATTCACCAGGAAGTCGTTGTATAGTAATCAGGAGCTATTCTCTCTTCCAATTGTTGGTCATCCAAAAATACCGAGGAGCAATTTGTAGAGTCAGAGTAGTGATTGTTGGTGGACTTTTCATCTGAAAAAAAGAGTAGAACCAAAACTCAGAGATATGTCATTCATGACAGTGGTTATAAGACAGAAATTTACTGTGAAAAGTCGTATTGCCCACTAAAATTCATCATGCCATTCCCAGTTCTAACATTCTTTCCCAAAGATATCAACACTGTGGAACCCCTCACCTCCTCAGTCTGGTCTTCCTCCCAACGTCGACAAGTTTACAATAAAACATGCATAGTAATTACTTCTCTCAGAAATAGAAAATCCCTGGTTCAGGGCCATCAAACCAGTATACTGAATACAGTCTTCTCTATACTTTCACACTTGACTGTTGAGAGCCAAATTCTGAATATATCTGCTTGTAAAACAAGTAGAAAGAGAAAGCTCTGAACGAGATGTAAAGAAACCCATTAGGCTGGATGTCAGGTTAATCAATGCAGTCAGTCCCATTGTTGGGATTTGAAAATATAACTTTAAATTCAGTCACATCAAATCATTCTCGAGTTTTTCAGTCTGAAAACCGCACCAAGCAGACCCTCAAGCTTCATCGCTTTATAATCTCGGACCAGGTACAATTATCCCCATATCAATAATGCAAAAGGAACTAGTCAATGTACAAGGCTGCCTGGCTCCAGCAACAACAGATGAGGAATCTAAAACCCAGTTTATTCATTTCCCAATTCAATGAATGTAACTAAGTTACTATGGCAACTCGTCTTGCTGACTTCTAAACAGATAATGGCAAATTGACATTCCTCCCTGCTAAAAGACAATGCTTTTTGGTAGATAAATGGCAAAAGAAAACCTTTCATTATTAACCAAAAGAATTTTATATTATCAGAAACTTTCTGCTGCTTCAAAGGGTTGATTTAACTGATATGTTAGCATGGTTTTAAAATTTAATTTTTAAAACTTGGGTGCATCACTGATAAGGCCGTCATTTGCTGCCCTTGAGAAGGTGGTGACGAGTTATTTTCTTGACTTGTTGCAGTCCCTGTGGTGTAGGTGTGCCCATGGTACTGTTCAGGAGAGTTCCAAGATGTTGCTCCAGTGACAATGCAGTGGCTTGTATCTATCCAAGTCAGGATAGCGTGAATAACTTGGATACATTGCATACAATTTTGGTCCAGTTATATGGGGAGTGAAGGGGAGGGGGACTGGACATCATCTCCATCAACACCAGCCCCAACCAACATTGAAGTTGCCACTATTCAGGCACCAATTCTTCTCCACCATCACCAGACCCACTAAGATAAGTCGTATCTCACCCCACTGGGCCCACCTCAATATTGCCATGATGCCCTTCCACAAGTGCTTTGCTGCCGCCAGTACCAGGATGTTGCCAGGGTTAGAGGGTTGAGCTATCGGAAGAGGCTGAATAGGCTGGGGCTATTTTCTCCAGAGCATCAGAGGCTGAGGGGTGACCTTATAGAGGTTTATAAAATCATGAAGGGTACAGATAGGGTGAATAGTCTTTTCACCGGTGTAAAGGAATCCAAAACTAGAGGGCATAGATTTAAGGTTAGAGGGGAAAGACTTAAAACGAACCTAAGAGACATTTTTTTCATGCAGAGGGTAGTGTATGGAATGAAATGCTAGAGGAAGTTGTGGAGACTGGTACAATTACAACATTTAAAAGGCATCTGCATGGGTATATGAACAGGAAAGGTTTAGAGGGATTGGGCCAAATGTTGGCAAATGGGACTAGATTAATTTAGGATATCTGGTCAGCATGGACAATACTGTCTATCTCTGTGGCAAATTCACTGATCCTCAGAGATTTAATTAAGGCATAAGATGCTAAAGTTGATTGACAAAGTGGAGAGGATATTTTGTTGTGTGGGGCAATGTATAAGAAGTCATTGCTTTATGATTAGGAGTAGCAGATTTAAAGCAGAGACGAGGAGGAATTATTTCTCTCAAAGGATCATGAATTTGTGGAATTTACTCCCTCAGGATGTGGTGGATGCTGGGACATTGAGTAAATTTAACAACATAGACAGAATGTGATTAGTAACCAAGTTCAAGATGGCAGTAGAGAAGAGCTTCTGAACCAGAACAATGCTCCAACTGCTTTTGTTGCTTTTATCTTTTAACTTTCTTTTCTCTGCTTATCTTCTGGAGGTAGCTCGGCCATGGAGCAAGCAGCTGGGGACCCAATGCAGGGACTTTGGCAGTCAGTGGCAACGTGGAAGCAGCTGGGGGCCTAGAGTGGGACTCTGATAGCTCAGTTGAGATGACTGGTGAGCTCCGATAATGGTCAGAAGCGTGGAGATCAATCACAGCATGGGCAAGGTGGCGGTTGGCAGCACAGGGCTTGAGAAATGGAGCCCGTGTGGGGAAAGCCCAGCATGGAGTGACTGCAGGCCCATGGCTAAAGGAAGACTGTAATTTAGAATTTTTAAAACTTTATTTCTTATTTACTACTTTTACACTGAGAAGAACTGTAATGTTAAATAAATAAAAGTTCAGGTACATTGTACCTCGGATGTCAGTGAATGGCAACATTGTAAACTTTTCACTGTATTGCTGTATTCTTATACTTGAGTGCATGTGACAATAAAACCCAATTCTGATTCTAGTAATGGGTTGAAAAGTTGAGAGTAGGTGGGAAAGTGGAGTTCAGGATAAGATAAGACCTACGAGTCATTTAAAGTGGCAGAGCAGACTGAATTGCCAACTCCTGCTCCTAGTCCATATGTTCAGTTTAGCAATGTAAGAATTGCATAGTCACAATACCAAGAAGAAAAATTTAGTTGATTGTTTTGGGGCAGGCTTTAAACAAACTTGCATTCACAACAACTGAAAGAAGATATAATTGGATGGATTTTGCTACCCTGCCTCAGTCAAGTACAATACAGTCTTCCATGCTGTTGCCAAAAGCGTTGAAATCCAAATTCTGATAAAATGTGGGGTTTTAAAAGGAAATAACATGGTTAACTGAAAAGGTTACACACAACAGTATGCCACAATGCAACTTTAAATTGCTTCAGATTACAGTTCAAAGGCGGCAAACTAAACAAGATCTGGGTCCTTTTCACTTACATTACCAAGATCAGATAGCTTTTCAGCATATCATTGCCCAAAGCCATCAACCACACATACTGCCAAAGGATCACTCTCAAAAGAATCAAGCTTTTAGCTTGTCCCAGATAGCCATAAGACAGCAATTAAGGTGCGTAAATATTTAAGATACCCTTTACATTTCTTTTAACATTATTTAATCAAAACACTATTTTGATCCTTTTACACTTATCTTGTGTTTACTAATGTAAACACACACACACACACACACACACACACACACACACGTCTAAACTAACACATTCAACATGAGCAACATCTTGCAACTATTTTGAAATTAGAATGGAATTTTGAAATCGTGTTGGGCTAACAATAAATGGGGATGCCTATAGTGAACAAATATGCTGAGGGAAACAACAGAAACGCATAATG